ATGAAACAGCCATCCTTCGGTGCATCCATGTTTCTCATGATGGTCTAAGAATGATTCATTCATGATTTCAATGTCAAGTATAAGTAGTAAAAGGAAAAAGGTTTATAAATTTTTCAGAAAAAAATAGACTTTAAAATAAAATTTTTTTTGATAAATTTGAATATTCAATTGTTAATCTGTAAGAATAAAAAAAAAGGAAAAAATAGCAGTTTCGTCAAGATATCCGTCTACCAGCCAAATGAGGTGTTTAGTACGCAGCCGTTCGTTCTGTCCTACTTTAAAGCTGTTAAATATGGCTGGTAAGAGTAGAGGATATTCGTAAGTCACCGGTATTCGATCATCGGTGTGTTTAATGCATTGCTCATATATCCTGGAGCAATCGAGTAAGCAGTGCTATTGTTAGGAAACGAGTATTAGGTTAGGATGACAGATGAGTTGATGAAGTTACTGCATCTTCATCAGTTGAGGTGGTTGGGACATTTGTTATGAATGCCCGACCACCGATTGCCTCGACGATCTATGTTTTGTGATCTAGGGGTAGGCTCAAAGTAGGGTAGAGGGAGTCAGACCAAAACAGAGGCATAAATCCATGAAGTCACTGAGAAGTCGACTAAGTCATGTCGATAGGTGTCGACTGCTTGGTTGGGGTCCGCCGGATGATAGTAATCGATGGTTAGCGACTTTGAATGACAGCTCGAAATCGTTTGCAATGGCGCAGATTCGTCCATTCTTTGTTTTGTCTCTAATTCTAATCCTCATCACCTTTATCTTTCTTTTCTTAAGTTTATTTCACTAGATTATACTTCTTGAATTATATCGTCAATCACTAATCTTTTTAAGTAACACTAATTATACTTCTTGAATTATATCGTCGATCACTAATCTTTTTAAGTACCACTAATACTTCTACTACATCTACCACTATGGGATTTGAATCGACAATTCGATCTCTCTGTGTGCCTTAATATGTTATGACAACTTGAACTGATGTACATAATGTTCGTATCAAGTTCTACGTTGTTGCTGACATACAGACAGACAGACTGACTGACTGACTGTCTGACTGTTTCGTCATACATAGTTTAATGCCTTTTATTAGTGTATCAATATTGATTTCAAAAACAAGTTTGGAATTTCAGATAGTTTTGGGTCACATATCTAGTGTTTATAGTTTTTTTTTGACAATTACCGTGTAGGCTGATGATCTATGCTGATCTATGATGAAAATTTATTTTCAGATTTGATCAATTTGTTTTTTATTCAAGACCACTGGAAAGGTAAATTACTTCATCAAATTAGTACAGGTCGTCAGCATTGATGCTCTGTCTAGTGTGCTTTTGTCTGAACACATTCAGTAAACAATACCAGCCAATGTTAAACGTTTCCTTCATCTCATCCACTAATAGTTTCACACTCATTTGTCTTAATGATGAGCGGCTAGTTACGTCATTCCTCCTAATTAATATCGTCTTTACTTTTCAAATTCTACTATCGGTGAGGTTAACAAGTATCGTCTGCGTAGAGCATAGTGTAATTATCGTTGAATTCTCTTTTGGATCAAGTTTCATTTAGTACAAAGATCAATATCAGTATTTATTATTATTATTAATGATTTTGTTTAAATAAGTAATTATTAGTACAAGAGAGCGGAACGCCTTAATAATTATACATCATAAAAATTAGTCGATTTATGTGGAAGAGAACAAACCAGATTCCAGCGGAGTTGGAAATCAGGAAGAAGCGGTGGAAGTGGATAGGACACACTCTACGAAAAGTACTGAACTGCATCACAAGACCAGCCCTCATATCGAACCCTCAAGTCTAAAGGAAAAGAGGAAGGTCAAGGAAAACATTACGCCGAGAAATAGAGAAAAATTTCTGAGAGGAATGAACAAACATTGGACAGAACTGGAGAGGGAAGCCGAGGACAGAGTTGGTTGGAGGAAACTGGTGGGCGACCTATTCTCTATTGGGGGTAACAGGCGTAAGTAAGTGAGTAATGCGTAAGCTGACTGAGGTTACTGACCGGATGTCAAAAGCAAAGTCAGTGACTTTCTTAGGGAGCCGCTACCCGAGCCTTTGGTCTATAGGTTTAATCCACAAGACAGTTGGAACTATTGTAGGAGATGTAGTCTCATAATAGCTGGTAACCAATAATAGTTTCATGCACCATTTGTTCCGACTATCTCAACGGGCTATTATTTCTGGTGTAGAAGTAGGCCGGAATAAAGCTGGAAGCGGTCAAGCCTAAAGGATCCACCAATCCATGAAGTCATTGGCTATTCGATTGAGTCATGTTTAATAGGTGCAGATTACCTGGTTAGGATTCGCTTTGAATCATAGGGTTGAAAATCATTTAGGAATGGCGCAAATGCATCCATTCTTTATTCTTGTTCAAATTTTCAGTTTCTGAATTCCTCATGACCATTTTTTCCTCTCTTTTTAAATTCATTCCACTGGTTTGTAACTTCTCAAATCATATCTTCAATCCCTAATCTTTTCCATTACCTTGTAAAATACTGTTACTTCCTTTACTACTTTGTGATTCTCCTCCCTGACCATTTCATCCCTCTGTACCTTTTGGATATTGACAGCTTGAAATAATATCCGTACGTATAGAACTAAATCTATGTAACCAGTTTTAAAATTTCACTACTATCCAGTATTCAAAATTAATTCAACTTGTACATGCAGACATCTCCGCCTGGATCCCCCGCTAGGGTTATTGTCGGTCCCAAACCCGTGGACAAAGCAGGAGGGTTGGGCACTATGGGGTTAGCGACCCCACCCTGTTGAAACCCAACTCACTGAAAAAACGCTAACCAGAAAAATAATTCGCTGATCGGTGGCCTATGCTTCATTAGGGGGTAATTTGTAATTTATTATTAGCCCATCACGTAACCATTTTAGGCAATAAGTGCTAGTTTAAAGTGTTTATTGATACATGAATATTGTTTATAATGTTTCACTGATCAATAGATTTGAAATGCTTCAGTTCAATCATCAATGAAGTCGTGAATGCATTCTATTGAACAAAACAACTGTCCAATGGTTTCTGATTTTCACTCGTTGTTTAATTAAACTTAATTCGTTAACAGAGATTGTAAAATTCAACAATCTCCACAATTTTTAAGACCATGAATCTTAATCTATCAAATTAATACTACTTACAGTGATGCATAATTCCTCTTGGAGCCCTTCTAGGGTTACTACCGCTCTTAAGGTAGTTTACTAACCTCCTTTCCAGTTGTTCCTAAGTTTTATATTCATTATTTTGGTGTCTGTCTCCGATTCCAAGCTCACTGCGTTCTTTGGTCTCTTTTTGTTGGCTTTTTGATATGGAATTGTCAGTCTAGATCCTACAGTAGTTAAAGGTGGTCGAAGTAAAAAGATTAAGGATTGAAGATATGATTCGAAAAGTATGTCCAAGAGAAATACGTTTCGAAACTGAAAAAAACAGTCATGAGTAGTTCAGCAGATTAGAACATGAGAGAAGACAAAGAATGGATGCACCTGTGCCATTCCTAAACGAATTTTAGCCATGTCGTTCAAAGTCTCTAACTATCGGTTACTATTGTTTTGTCGATCACAAACAAGTTGTCGACACCTACTAACATGGCTCAGTCCAGTTGTCAATGTTCGACTACCCATAGCTTTCTTCCAGTCTACTCCGACATCATAAAACATCGCTCTTTCTGAGACAGTCGGTAATTTGGCATTCGTAAAACATATCCCAACCATGTAGACTGATGAAGTTTCAATACTTCATCTATTGATCTGCCATCCTTACCTAGGACCCGTCTCCTAAAAACAGCATTGCTTAATCTATTTTCCCAGGATATACGAGCGATTCTTTGGAGCCACCGATGATCGAATACCAGTGACTTACAAATATACTCTATTCTTAGTGACTATGTTTCACACCCGTTTAGTAGGACAGTATGAACCGCTGCGCAGTAGACTCGTCCTTTGGTTAGCAGATAGATATTCATATACTTTCAGTATAACACCCTCATCTAAACTTGAATTTTTTCACACTTAATTATATGAGAATATATGATTGATCACTTTTTACCACCTACACTTATATTCTTCTTATTAACTGTCATTAGAAGGTTGTGGAGATTGTTGAATTTCATCAAAGTGATTACCATTGAACACTTGGAAGCAGTAGACGGCCGTCTCCTCCTAGTATGAGAATAACCGGCAGAGTGATAGTATACATATCCAACACCCCATATGTGGTAATCCAACCTAATACCTTCGATCTCGATCTATACTGTACATGAATAAACTAATTGGTAATATTATCTAATAATGATTATCAGTCTGAGTAGTGTATACAAAGTTTAAGAATTAATTATCTTAGATATAATTCATTGCAATAAATATTATCATTATGATTAATTTTGGGGCACAGTTTTAGAGTTTGCGTTTTTACACATTTAAGATCATCAATCAATCATTGTTAGACCACAATTAGAATAAACCTGGAAGCACTGGACGGCCATTTCGTCCTGGTATAGAACTCATCAGCAGTGCGCATCCACGACTCCTGCATCCCGTAGGATTCGAACCCAGGACCTTCGGTATTGTGCGCGAACGCCCTAAACGTCCCATACCAGGACGAAACGGCCGTCCAGTGCTTCCAGGTTTCTAATGGTGGTCTAACATTGATCGATTCATGGTTACAAATAAAACTTAACAATCTTCACAACAACCCCGCAATGCAATAAATATTATCAAGTCCTGTGGTCGATTGCGGTGACTAGCAGAAGTCATAAATACCCACCCACTACCACTGATGAGCAGTCCCATATAGAGTAGGACGAAACAGCCATCTAGTACTTCCAGATGTCTCTAATGTTACTGTACCAACATGAATCGATTCATGATATCAAAAAGTAAACTCCACAATCTCCATAACCCTTGTATAATGAAAATTTCCCCCTCCTTTTCTTTTAATCAAACCTTATTCATCTTTTTCATTTATTCTATAGAACCTTCATTTCCATCACCTCCATTGGATACATTTACTTCAGAGAATTTTCCACTTCCACCCCCGCCCCCACCTCCACCCTCATCATCACCTCCATCATCGTCGTCGTCATCAATGCCGATGACATTGTCCACAAATCCTGTATCAACAACATTTTCATCTTTTACCACTAATGTGAATACCAAATTAACACCACAACAACAACAAAATAATGATGATGTAGCTGGTAGCAAACATGTACAAAGTATTCCTAGCCATGTTGAATATTCCAAACATCAATTGTATGATGTAAGTGGTTTGATTTTTTTTTTATTTTCAAAGTTTTTTGTTTCCTTGTGATTTTTGCCTATCTATCTGTTACGCATGCACGTAAACACATCACTTTGTTATACTTGAACTATTACAAGTTTACAGTAGTCAGTAAACGAGAGCGAGGATCAAGGATTCGGCGACACGACATGTTACTGTAATCCGAGCGTCTCAACCCCCCACCATTGAGTAAAAGAAGAAGACTTGATATGAAGTAGAATTCGTATTCTACAATCATCCAGAAAGTACGAGGTCCGATTCTAGAAGAGAATCAGGATCACGGACTAGTGGTTCGGTTCCGGGCCATAGACCGTTACAGATGATGCATATTTATACAGTTAGGTCGAATAGGAAGCAACATTGAATTCTGTGACATGGACAGTTAGGACGACCAGTCAGAAACAACATTTGAAGTGACATTGATAGTCAGGACGACCATAATACTGACCAGTAGGAATTGACCAATAGAATTAGACTTACAAAAAATATTCTCTTAGGATATTGGATGAATATCCTAACAATATCAACTATTCACAATTGAGAGGCTAATTATATTAGTAATCAGTCAGTCAGTCAGTCGACAACATAGTCGAACTCCGCAAACACTAGACGGCCGTTTCATCCTAGCATGGGACTCATCAATGGCAGTGCTCGCCTACGACCATTCAAGCACGAATAGAGCCCGGGACCTTCTGTTTCGCGCTCGAACTCCTAACCTTTTGATCACTGAACTGACCATACTCCAGCAAAATGGCCATCTAGTGCTTACACGTTCCCAATAGTAGTCTAACATTGGTCAATTCATAATTTCAATAGAATTCTCTCGCAAGTGTGCACACTTATTCATGTGTGTGTGTGTGTATTTGTATTAAAAGTAAAAAAGAAAAAGTATGATAAAATCGAAAGAATGAAAAATTCTATCAAAATTTGGTAACCAAAATGTGCGTGTGTGTGTGTGTGTTTGTGTGTCTGTGCAAGGGAGAACGAGAGCGAGCGAGCGAGCGAGTGACCGACTAAAAGAGACATTTGCATCCCAAATCTGCTGTATTTGTTTATCAGAAGATTAGTCATTCAGAATAATTTTTTCCAAAAAAATATCAAACATTTTCTTGTTCAAATTATAAAATGATTCATTAATTTACATACATATGGATATTTTTTGTTATCAGTGTAATAATTGTTTATGTTGTCGTCAATTTGTTCAACTTTGAGGTCATTTGTAACATTTTCAATGTTCACTATTCAATATTCAATAAATGCATTTTGTTCAGATTTCTTTCATCTATCTATCTATCTGTATGACGTCAAGTTGGATATTAAGATATTCGTAGGTTATTGGTTTTCGATCATAGGTATCTTCGAAGCATTGCTCGTATATCGTGGGACAACCGAGTTTAGCAACGCTGTTATTAGGAAACGGATGCTAGGTAAGAATGGCAGATCAATAGATGAAGTAGTGAAACTTCATCAGTTGGGGTTGTTGGGACATGTGTTGCGTATGCCTAACCATCGACTGCCTCGACGAGCTATGTTTTGTAGTGTAGGAGTAGGTTGGAAGATAGTTAGGGGGCGGCCAACCTAAAACATTGCACAAATCCATGAAGTCATTGACGAATGGACTTAGCCATGTCGGTGGTTGTCGACTACCTGGTTGGGGTCCGCGAGATGACAGTAATCGATGGTTAGAGACCTTGAATAGCATGGCTCAAAACCGTTCGCAATGGCGCCGGTGCATTTATTCTTTGTGTTCTCTCAAATCCTATTCTTCTGGATTCTTCAACACCTCTAGTTTTGTCTTTCTAAACTTTTCTCACTGAATTATACTTCTCGAATAATATCTTCTAATCGTAACCTCTCGGATTACTTCGAATACCTTTACTACCCCTTCTACCATTGGATTTGAATTGACAATTGCATCTGTGTGTGCTGATGTGGTATGGCAACATGAACTGATGTACTTATGTGCGAAGTTTTACGTTGCATCTGACTGACTGACTGACAAGTTGGATATTGAAAAAATAGTAACTACTAATCGTTATCTTTCGGTTTACTGAAATAATATTTGAAGTTGAATAAGAATTGCTTTTTTCCCATGTTCTACATTAAGTCATTTAAAGTATCATACATGATGCATTAATAAAGTATTATGTATTTCACAGTTTGTTAGGATATTCATCAAATATCCTAATGAGAATTATTTGTAAGTCTAAATCTATTGGTCAATTCCTATTGGCGGTCCCAACTATCAATGTCGCATAGTTCGATGTTGGTTCCTATTCGACCTAACTATATAAATACGCATTATCTGTAACGTTTTATGATCCGAATCCTTAGTCCGGGATCCTTAGCCTGTTCTGGATTCGAAGCTCGTACTTTCTGGATGTTGGTAGAATACAGATTCTACTTCATATCAAGTCTTCTTCTTTTACTGAATGGGAGTTCGGGACAGTTGGATTAGAGTAGCATGTCCTGCTGTCGGATCATCGGTCCTCGTTCTCGTTCACCGATTAAGGTAAATTCGTAATAGTCCAAGCCTAACAAAATGACGTGTTGACGTGAATGCGTAACACAGTTTTACCTTGAAATCATGAATGAACCATCACTGAGAAACTTGGAAGTATCGGTCGGCCGTTACGTCCTGGTATGAGACCACTCATCAGTGGCAGCACGCATCCACGATTCCTGCTACTCACAGGACTTGAGCCGAGTACCTTCTGTCTCGATTAACCTCTGAACCAATGAGCCAGCGGCATCCATCAGTATTAATGTCTAACTTTGATCAATCACTCAGGATTTTGAGCAACCTCACACATTGTCTTCGGTGGTTACTGCCTTCATCCGAAGAGGGTTGAACTTCACAGGCTGAACTCCATATTTGCTAATGTATCGTTTGTTGTAAAAAGAATATTTTTTTCTATTCAGACAGACAAACAGATACAATCCAGAACTCCGTACGTACGTACATCAGTTCACATTGCCATACCATGTCAGCACAGAAACATAACTGTCAGTTCAAATCCAAGAGTGATAGCAATAATAGAACTATTAGCAGTAATGGAGTACCTAGCCTGTCATATGATATGATGGTGTTCTTGTGACTTTCGGGTTGCCTGATCTGCCAAGGGCGATGGGACAGTGCATGATGTTATTGTTGTGTGCTAGGTTCAAAGAGAGTTGTATGCGATATGTGTGCACTCCGCCCCGTTATTGTTCTCCTTTTTTTCTATTCGCTATAATTGTATAGCGTATTTCGGTTTGTGGGTGTGTTCATGCCTACAGTTATTCATTCTTTTTCCAATATTCAGTAAAGGAAGAATTTTTAAATAGTTTCGTGCATTTTCCCAATCATTTGAAAAGTAAATGCTGTATATATAAGAGTAGAATCTTTTTTCTGACAATCTTTTAAAGCTATCTACATATGTATCACTCTAACAACTCTGCCTGGAACCCCTTTTAGGGCTACTACCAGTCCTAAGCCCGGATAAAAGAGAAGGATGTTTGGACATGGCGTTAGTGACTCCATTCTGTAGAAAACTAACTCGCTAAAAATACGCTAACCAGTTTTAATTCTATGTGCGTAAACCATCATTACTTACAACAATTCCAATCTATGATATAAAATAGAGCTAAATTACTTTTTTTATAAACCCCTCAATACGTGGTACTACCGAGAGTGAGAAGAGTCCATTCTCTCTCTCCAAATATTCTCACATGGCCATACGTGTATGCTGCCAATCCTACCTACTTACTGACATGTAGTGAGAATCTTGTTTACGAAATTAGGATGACAAAAATTGAATATCTAGTACCTTAACCGGGTGGTTGTGTATATCGGATCTATGTAGGAGAGTTGGGGAACCTTCGTTTCAAACTAATGAATGTGTATATAGTCTTCAGGATCCTGAGACAAATATTTTCGTATGTATTTATTGTTGGTAATGGGCTACAATAAGACTTATGGTACTCCACGACTGGATTGTGGATTAGACCTGTCTGTCAAAAGCTCATGGATTAGCCGCTGAAGTAAATCACCTGTTACAATTTAAGTAGTTGGTTTGTATACCAATTCACAAATTCAGTAATATGTATCACACATAAACATTTACTTGCCTTTTTGTACAAATCTTCGTATGTTTAAATCAATAAAATATATTTTATTTGACTTACAAACAATATTTTCAAATTTCAATTTGTTTAAAAGATGTAGCATTGAAACTTCATCAGTTGAGGTGGTTGGGAAATGTGTTACGTATGCCTAATCACCAACTGCCTCATCGAGATATATTTTGTGATGTAGGAGCGGTCAGACCAAAACATGGCAGAAATCCATAAAGTCACTGACAAGTGGACTAAGTCATGTCGATAGGTGTCGACTACTATCTGGTTAGGGTCCGCGAGATGTTAGTAATCGGTGGTTAGAGACTTTTTGAATGACATGGCTCAAAACCGTTTACAATGGCGCAGATACATTGATTCTTTATGTTCTCTCAAATCCCAAATTTTTTAATTCCTCATCACGTTTATCTTTCTTCTGTTTAAGTTGATTTCCCTAGATTCTACTTCTTGGATAATATTTTCGAACTCTAATTTCGCCGATTACTTCTAATACTTTTACTTGTTGGGGATGTTAGATCCCCGAAAAATTCGCTTGATCAATGCCTTATTTTGGTTTTCACGTTTGCCAGCATGGGCTGATCAGTTGACCCTGAGATTTCAATTCTCATCAGGAAAATCCATGGCTGTGATTGGCTGCTGTGTATTTTGGTGTGCTATTTTCTTAACTGTCTCAAGGACGTTTCTATGTTGTATAAATAAACGAGAGTTGCATGCTTGATTGTACTGTGATTGCTGGATGTTTGTAGAATATACTTTCTACGCTTACCAAGCCTTCTGTTTACAGCTTGGGATTCAAGGTAGCCTGTCTGGATGTTGGTAAAAGTCTCGTTCGCGTTTATCGACTTGAACTGATATACGTACGTACGTACGTTGCTGTCGATGATGATGAAACAAACAAACTTTAAATTTAAAAATCATTTAAACATCAATTGATCATTGAAATTTTCTTAAATAAATTCAATTTTCAATCTTCACTATTTTTTTTCTTGCATTAGCCTAAATATCAAACAGAATCACTTAGCAATTCATATCATGTCAATAATAATGATGAACAGACTACTGTACAATATCGTCATCAGATTACAACCAATGCAAGAAAACCATCAATTCCTCAAAGAGCTCCATCGACTCGATTAACTAGTTTACCGAATTGGCCTAATCACTATGATGATACAGACATATTGAATTGTGATACAACAATGAAAACATCCCATGTGACATTGACTGTTCATAATGGGACACATGATTTACAAGTAAGTAGGCTGTGTGTCTATCTCTCTGTCTGTCTGTCTGTCTCTCTATCGTTTAGGTCATTCATTCAGTACGTATTACTTACTTATTTACTTACTTACGTACATCTGTTATTGCCGACAAAGCATAGATTGCTGACTGGGACTCTGCAGTCAACTCTGTCCTGAGCTCCTATGTGTTATTCATTCATTTACTGTGTTGCATTTTATTCCCGATGAATTGTGTTGAGGACGTTAGATCCGCAGAACTCACTTGATAAATGCCTTAATTTTGGATTTGACATTCACGAGCATGGGTTGATCAGTTGACCTTGAGATTTCATTTCCCACCAGGTCATTTTAGTGTGCTATTTTTATGACTGTCCCAAGGACGTTTCTATGATTTATAAATAAACGCGATTTGTGTGCTTGCTGGGTGTTTGTAGAACATAATTTCTATGCTTATCAAGACTTCTCTTTTGCTGTTTCGGATCAAGGTAACCTACCTGGATGCTGGCTCATTATCTCGTTCGCGTTTATCGACTAAGGTGAACTCGTAATAGTTTCAAGCATACCTAGTGACGAACCTAACAAAAACTGAATGTGTCTTTTTGTCTTCTACGTTACCTTTTGACTTGAGGATTTTATGTTAAGGCTTACCGCTTAACGCAATTGGATGATTGCTGTAATATCCGTTCTTTTTCCCACCTTCAATGTCTTTTCGTCAACTGAATTGTATTTTGATATACAATTCAATAACAGTTTTCAGTGTAAATTATGAATGATAGTGTAGAGTAATAATGACTAGAATAGTGTCGGACGACCTACTTTTTACACATTTGAAGCTTAGAAAAGATTTTCAGTATAGGATTGTAGAGATTGGTAAGAATTGAGTGGCGTTTTCATCTTAGTATGACATTCATTAATGGCAGTGATCATCCATGAACCAGTCCATTGGAATCAAACTTAGGACCTCCGGTCTCAAACGCGAACACTTAGACCTTATACCATTAAGTCGCCATCCAACAGTGTCAATGTTCAACTCCGACCAATTCATGATATTGCTCGACTGTCATCTTATTGTCTTCCGTGGGGAACTGTCTCACATCTGACACAATCGAACTCCACTGATTACAGCTTCGCATTAGAACTTCGACGATTCCTATTCATGGATGAGCACCGCTTCATAAAATAAAATTTTTTGGTTGAATAATGCACAATTATATCATACATATCAAAGGTGATTTCAATTTGTCGTATCTATGTTATAGTATAATCGTTTATATACACACACTATAATCCTAGGCTTAGGTTACGCATCCGTGTGCAATTCCGATGACCCTGAGTTCGATTCCCGCACCTAGCAGGAGTCGTGAATACGCACGGTCATTGATGAGGAGTCCCATACCAGGAGAACGAACTGGCTGTCTTTCTATACTTTACAGATTTCTCAATAGTGGTCTAACCTCGTTGATTCATGATTTCAGTAATCGAAACTGAAATTCACTCTAAGTTGCATCGTCTCTTTCTCTGTCCTGAGTGTCTGTCTCTCTCTCATCTTCATGTGTGTACATGTGTGTATGTGTGTCTGTGTAAGCGTGTGTTAATGTGTGTCATTTGTGTCTTTTCTTAGACGAAACATTCACTGGAGTTATCAAAGGAGAATACTGATCACAGCAGTAACAGTAACAGTAGTAATAATATTAATAATAATAATGACAGTCACTCAATTGTATGCACTACACTACCAGTACAAGATATTATTCGAAAATTTGGTAATCTACTTACGAGTAATGCAAAAATATCAAATCAATGCCAGAGTAAGTATATTTTGTTGTCATTGTTTATGATCAAGTGTGTGATTTCTAAAAAGATTTGAGTATATATGCTAGATACTACTGATAAGGTTGGTATATAAGTAGCCTAAAGCAGAGTGTCATCTAGCTGATACTCCCAGAGAGACAGGAGTGTTTGGAGATGAAGATGCATGATCGTGATCAGACTGTATTGAAGATTGGAAGAGACTTGAGAGAGAGAACGGTGTAACGCTCCATGGTTTTCATTCATCTTTCAGTCGATGCTATTTAGGAGGAACCATTTAATTGAGTATCACCAAAAAGAATTCTTTGAGTTACAGAAATTCCTTTCAATTGTGTGAAGAAAATAAAAGAACATTACATAGGGATTGTCACTGGCTTATATTCTGAGCTATTTTTGAAAACAACTCAAGCCATTGTGTTGCCTCAACTCTAGAACCCTAAACAGGGAGCTGTGAAACACTAACAGATATCAGTCCTGTACAATTTTATTTCATACTACAACGCTGTCAGAAACTGACCATCTCTTCACTTTTTTGAAAATGATGAACGATGTGAAATCTTCTAGGACGACGTCATTCGTGGTGGATGTTGAGTCCACTGAAGTAGGTGCTTCAAGATGGTTACACCAATTGAAATATTATCTCTGTGCGTAAGCACATGTTTAGCAGTTAGATTGGCTGAGATAATAGCTAGAATATGGAAACTGGACGTAATCTCACATGACTTGTCTCAATCACTGATTGTCCCAGTCTATAAAAAAGGACAAAAGCCCTTTTATGACAGTCACAGAGGAATCACCCTAACAAAATATAGTACCTAAAATTTTAGCCTCGATAATACTTCGACGCAGACTCAAGAAGACCAGATTGGTTTCGGACCTGAACGTGGATGTTTAGACCATATATTCACTTTTCGTCAGGTCCTGGAACACACTTTCAGACTCCCCACAATAGTAGTATTTCTCAACCCTAAGGGGCCATTCGACTCTGTCGATCGTGAGGTTCTCTGGTAGTGTCTGTCATTAAAAGGTGTACCAAAGAAGTACACTAACCTTATACAAACTCTCTAGTCGAACACTACTGGTCGGGTCAGAGCTTATGGCGAACTGTCATCAGAATTGATTACTTTAATTGATGTCAGTGAATGTTGTTCACTTTCCCCATTCTAACTCAACTTTATCATAGACATGTCTTTTTGGAGACAACACTATCTTCGTTTGACTTTTCAGGAGTGGACCTTCTATCAGGAGATTCACTCGTTGACTGAGAATATGCCAATGACATAGTTCTATTCGATGAAGACACTGAAAAAATGCAGAGTCTTCTGACTACTACCCTAAGCAACAATGCATGCATGTTCGGGATGCGATTCTCCTCCTCGAAGTGCATTGGCACCTGAACTATTGAAGCGAGTGGAGCAGTTGAACTTGTCGACTGCTTCATTTGTCTCGGAGGTTTTATGTGTTCTGAAGGCCTGGTGTGTGACAAAATCTCAGCAGAGTTATAGAAGGCTCGGTTGGATTTGTCCAACTTGCGTCACTTATGATTTAGATAAGATATCTGTCTACCGACCAAAGGACGGGTTTACTACGTAACGTTAGCTCCGTCTTACCACATGACCACTAAGAATAGAGCATATTTCTAGGTAACTAGTATTCGATCAAGGGTGTTTTCAAATCACTGCCTCTTTATCCTGGGACCATCGAATAAGCAATGCACTGAGGTTATGATTAAGGTTCATACAGGAAATATTCTTCTATCATCTTGACCACTTATAGTACAGTTTCGATTTAATTAAACTCCCTAACGAACATGTTAACCATTTCTTTCATGTCAATCATTTAAAAATAATTTTTTTCTTGATAACTACATTGTACAAATTAATTTCATAGGTTTATTACTTTTGTCTTGACTTCTTGCTTCACTTAGTCACTTCTAATGTACAAAATATTCAACCGTCAACAATACGACCAAATTCATTCACGAATTGTAACACTAATAATAATAACCATCATTATCCTATAAAAATACCAATCACTCATCAACATCATCAACCAACATTAACAACCAATGCAAACGATTCACCGTCAACTGTGAATAATCTAGTAGTTACGTCAGGTACATTGAACTCACAACAACATTATCATAAAGTACAAGAAGTTCTTTCGCCATCATCATCGTCAACATCAACATCATCACCATCATTGTCAAGTAGAAATTCAAATCAATGTAATGTAAGTTAATTCATTGGTTACTTACTTACTTTACTTACGCCTGTTACCCCCAATGGTGAGTTCCATTCAATTGATTGTTCCACAATGATCCGTAATGTAGCAAGTTGGTCAGTACATGATCGATCCTTACGAAATCCGGCCTGTTGATCTCGAAGTTGGGCGTCTACGAAATCCTTCATTCTGTTTAACAATACCCTGTTGAAGACTTTGCCTGGTACTGAAAGAAGAGTGATGCGTCTGTAGTTTTCACACTTGCTGAGATCGCCTTTCTTTGGTATTTTGATGAGGTATCCTTCTTTGCAATCTGATGGTACTTGTTCCTCATCCCAAATCTTCTTAAAGAGAATGTGAAATATTTTCGCGGTTGCTTCTACATCTGCTTTCATTGCCTCTGCTGGAATGTTGTCTGGTCCTGCTGCTTTGACGTTCTTGATTTGTCTGATGGCCATACTGATCTCCTCAATCGTAGGTGCTCCAATATTAATTGGGAGATCCGTGGATGCTGCTTCGATGTTGGGTGTGTTCAGTGGAGCTGGTCGATTTAGGAGTTCCTTAAAGTGCTCCACCCACCTATTTCGCTGTTCGTCAGTGTTGCTGATTATTTTCCCTTCCTTGCTTTTCACTGGTCGTTCTGGTTTACGATAGTTCCCGGCGAGCTTCTTTGTTGTTTCGTACAATTGTCTCATGTTTCCTTCTCTTGCAGCCTTTTCCGCCGTCATTGCTAGATCTTCCACATATTTTCGTTTGTCAGCTCTGATGCTCTTCTTCACTTCCCTGTTTGCTTCTGTATACTCGGCTTGCGCCTTAACTTTCTCTGCTCTTGTTCGGCTGACATTCACTGCTGCCTTCTTGTTCCTCCTTTCTTCAATTTTTGCAAGAGTATCAACAGAGATCCATTCCTTGTGATGGTGCTTCTTGCGACCAAGGACCTCCTGACATGTTGAAGTGATTGCCTCCTTAATCCCTTTCCAATTGTTCTCCAATGTTGCTTCCTCTCCATTGTGTAGATCCTGAAAGGCCTGGAACCTATTGGTGAGGGCTATCTTGAATTCGTTGAGTTTTACGGTATCCCGAAGAAAGGCCGTATTAAACTTCTGTGATGTTGTCTGCCCCGTTGTCCAGTGCTTCTTTAGCTTCAATCTCATTTTGGCGATCAGCAAATGGTGATCTGAAGCTATATCAGCTCCTCTCTTGGTTCTCACATCCTCCATGGTCCTTCTGAACTTTTTGTTGATGCAGTGTGGTACGGTGAAATCCATGTGACTTTGTGAATGCGTTTGTGTGGGAATATTGTGCCACCGATGACCAGTTTGTTGAAGGCACATAGGTTTGCAAATCTCTCACCGTTTTCGTTCCTTTCTCCCAGTCCATGTCGTCCCATGATGTCTTCATATCCAGTGTTGTCCATTCCAACCTTGGCATTCAGGTCTCCCATAAGAATCGTCAAATCCTTTGGTGAACATTTATCGACGATTGACTGCAGCCTTTCGTAGAATTGATCTTTAACGTCGTCATTGTAGTCATTGGTAGGTGCATAACATTGGATGACGTTCATTGTAATGTCCTGTTTCTTTGTTTTGAAGGATGCTTTAATGATCCTTGGTCCATGAGATTCCCATCCTATCAGTTCATTTTGTGCATGTTTGGACAGCATCAGTGCAACTCCTTGTGTATGTGAAGCGTTTTCCTCTTCATGACCAGAGTATAACAGCAGTTCCCCTGAAGCTAGTCTCAGTTGTCCTACTTGTGTCCAATGCGTTTCACTGATGCCGAGCACCTCGAGGTTGTATCGTTTCATTTCTGCCGCAACTTGAAATAGTCTTCCAGTCTCCCACAATGTACGAACGTTCCATGTACCTAAAAAAATGGTTGCTCTGGTTGTCAGAAGAGGCATCAGCCCCGTGACTTCCGAGGGAACTCGGCTTTCATCACGAGACGTCATAATTCTTCTTCCAACTCCCAGGGCAGAGTTAAAATGGTTTGAATTATTTTTTCTGGTTAGCGTTTTTTTGGCAATTTAGTTTTTGACGGAATGGGGTCGCCAACCCCATGTCCAACCCTCCTCCTTTATCCGGGCTTGGGACCGGCAGTAGCCCCTAAGGTTCTACTGGCGGAGTTTAATTCATTGATATTCGTTATTATTTGTGTGAAATTATGATAATCTCAACAATCCTTTCATGTGCTTACTAGTAACAATCCCCGTGTGAAAGTTTCTTCGAATTCTGATGTGAAGTTCATGACCAGTGGAGTTCAACTATGTTTTTGGATGTGAAACAGTGCTTAGCGATGACAGTGAATGAGGTTGCACAAGACCGACCGTAAACATGAACATCGTTGAATGCTGCTGGCTCAGTGGTGCTGAGGTTAAGCGTTGGCTCGTGAGACCGCAGGTCCTAGGTTCGAATCCTGAGAGTAGCAAGAGCCGTGAATAAGCACTGCCGATGAGTCTCATTTCAGGATGAAACAGCTGTCCAGTGCTTCTAGGTTTCTAATGCTGCTGTATGATCGTAGCGCCAAATGTGTCTGTGAAGTTTCTATTCAGTGCTGATGGGATAAAACGTTTTCTGACATTATCATGCTTTCAGAGACTTCCGAGGAATATTTTAGAGCTCCCTCCAATAGTCAATTTCAGGTACATTTCGACATAGAAATTGTTACGCTCGTCTCTATGTATGCTTAAACTATTACGCGTTCACCTAAGTCGAATAACGAGAATAAAACAATGAACCAGCGTCCAGATAGGCTACTGTGATCCCTTGACCAAAAGGTATCGGCGAGAAGTTTTGATATAGCGTAGAAATTGTATTCTACAAACACCCAGCCAGCACACAATAAATCCAAGCACTCGAATTGCGTTTATGTAGACTCTATAGAGACATCCTTAGGACAGTCACAAAAATAACACACTCAAACGACACATTAACCAATCACAGCCAAGGATTTTCCTGATGGGAAATGAAATCTCAAGGTCAACTGGTCGGTCCATGAAATAAATCCAAAATAAAGATATTTATCAAGCGAGTTCTGGGGATCCAACATCCCCAACAATTACTATGCCAATTATCATGTGCTTACTAGTAACATTATCTCACTGAATTAAACTTTCCGAATCATGTATTCGAACTCTATAATCTTCTCCATTACCAGTAATACTTCTACTATCTCCACCACTATGGGATATGAGCTGACAGTTTTGTCTCTGTGCTAATGTGGTGTGACAACTTGAACTAATGTACATACGTACGAAGTTCTACAGTCTACCAAAGGGTATAAAACACGTACCATGTATTCCACTCTTATTATATATTATATAAATTAACCCTCCATTGTCAAGGCTCTTCAGGACAATCAAGGAGACAGCCTACGTGTTAGTTTTTCAACGTGAACAGTTTGACACAATCCCGTGGTTCAACCACACAAGTAACTAACACTCTGGCAGACCATTCGCACCATTTATAAACACTAGTACTTACATAGTTATTACTTCCGACCTATGATCGCGTCACAATCAGTATGCACCGCATGAATAAGCCAATTCGACCCATCCCACTTATATGACTGTCAAACGCATTATAATTATTATTAGCGATGATGATATGAATACAACAGCACTCCATTGACAATGGCCCTCGGGAATGTTGCAAAATAACCACTAGTATCATTGAAATTGGTCACCCTACTAACCAATTTTGTATATGGACTGTTAACAATACTTGCCAAATTAATTTCAAGTCGTCCACAATGTTCATCACAACGGACTTCTGGTCTCATAGGAAACCTTCAGCAGCAGTATAGCATATGGTATACACATAGTATGGCATAGGATAGAATAAGAGATGCAGCTCAGCTTGATGCAAATAGGCTCAAACACTCTTTTATCACATTTTGTCTCATGTCAGATAATGATGTTCTCTCAATAGAGAAATTTTCATGTTTCTGGCCATTTGATGAGACCTGATAGTTAGGGATAGTATCGCCTATTCCACTCTTAGCCACTTTCCAATTCTATTCATTCTCTCTCAAACTCCAACCTTCTGAATTCCTCATCATGTTGGTCTTTTTCTTTTTAAGTTTATTTCACTAGATTCTACGTCTTGAATCATATCTTTGAACCCTAATCTATCTACTACATCGACTACTATGGGATTTGAATTGACAATTGCATCCCCTGTGTGCCCTGATGTGGTATGACAACTTGAACTGATGCACGTACGTACTTACGAAGTTCTACGTTGCTGGTGATTGATTAATTGATTCATGTTTAGTGTATATTGTATAATTTTTCTAAATTTTAGGTATGAATCATTAAAAGAAAACGCACACACTTCATTTTCTCTTCTTATTTTATTCATTCATCATCTGAAATTATTAATCAATCATTATTAGAGCACCATTAGAAACCTGGAAGGACTGGACAGCCTTTTCATCCTTGTATGGGACTACTAATCAGCAGTGCTCATCCACAACTCCTGCACTTCGCAGGATTCGAACCCAGGACCTTCAGTTTTGTGCGCGAACGCCTAACCATCGGACCACTGGGCCGGCATCCAACAGTGTTAATGTCCAACTATGATTGATCTACGGATTTTGCGTGACCTCACCCATTTATCTTTGGTAGTTACTGCCTACACCCGACAGGGTTGAACCCCATTAGTCACGTCTTCTCAACTAGAACTCCCAGGATTTCCTCACGGCCAGTCACTAGTGAGCACTGTTACGATATTTTCAGTTAGAGCTTTGGAGATTTGTGTTTTTTACACATTTGAAATCATCAATCAATCAATCACTGTTAGACAACCATTAGAAACCTGGAAGGACTGAATGGCCTTTTGATCCTTGTTTGGGACTACTCATCAGCAGTGCTCATCCAAGACTCCTGCACTTCGCAGGATTCGAACCCAAGACTTTCGGTCTTTGGTAGTTACTGCCTACTGGATTAGGTCGCGCGAAATCCCTAGATTAATCAGAGTTAGACATGAACACCGTTCGATGCTCTCCCAGTGGCCCATAGGTTCGGCGTTCGCGCGCAAGACTGAAGGTCCCGGGTTCGAATCCTGCAGGGTGGTGCAGGAGTCGAGGGTGCGCACTGCCATTGATGGGCTAGTCCTATACCAGGACGAAACGGCCGTCTTTCAGTGCTTCCAAGTTTCTTCTTATGGTGTTCTAACAATGATTGATTGGTTGATTGATGATTTCAAATGTGTACAAGCAATAATCTCATTAACTCTCTAATCGCAAAATTATTCATCATCAAAGTTTTGTTTATATTTCTTACTTTTATTTCTTGTTTTATAGCCATCCAATATCGTCAATCAATCATATCAGATGGTCATGATGACAAAAAATTTATCCAATGGAAATAATGATTATCATTATTGCACAAAATACAATCATGACACATCAGTGAATAATACAATGCATCCATCTCTGTCTGCTCCTATTACTAATACTACTACTACTGCTACCAATAGTAGTAGTATGTGTCATTCTTATAAATCTTCATTGAATATGAATGATAAATGGTGAGTTGAGTGTTGAGTTGATTTGATTTTTTCCCGTTTTGGTTTGCATTTTGATAATAATAGTAGTAATTAACATTGATAAATTCCTTTTACGTTGAGTTTGGTATTATACATGTACATTTGATGAGCCAATTGTTACACCTGCATGTAAACGCGTCAGCTTGATATGTTTGAACTATGACGAGTTTACCTTAGTCGGAAAACGAGAGCGAGGATCGAGGATCCGGTGACACGACATGCTACTCAAATCCGATTATCCCAACCCCCATATTGAGTAAAAAATAAGAATACTTGATATGAAGTAGAACCTGTATTCTACAAGCATCCAGAAAGTACGAGGTCCGAATCCAGAAGAAAATCAGGATCCCGGACTAGGGTTCCGGGACCGAGCCCTGGTCCTGGTCATTAAACGTTGCAGTTAATGCATGTTTGTACCTTTTGGTCGAATAGAAAACAGCATTGAATTCTGTGACATTGACAGTTAGGTCGACCAATAGGCAACAACATTTGAAGCGACATTGATAGTCAGGACAACCAATAATAAACAACATTGGAGCACGTGACATTGATATCTACTAGGACGACCAGTTGGAATTAACCAATAAGAATTGACCAATAATTCTCTTAGGATATTGGATGAATATCCTAACACCAATGTTCAGTATGTATGTATGTACGTACATCAATTCAAGTTCTCATAACATATTAGTACAGGAAGATGAAATTGTCAGTCCAAATCCTATATTAGGCAGAGGTAGTAACAGTATTAGCAGTAATGCAGAAAGTTATTATTCGAAAAGTATATCTCAGTTTTCGGGGATGTTAGATCCCGAGAACTCACTTGATGAAGGTGCTTATTTTGGATTTTTGTGATTTCGTGCATGGGTTGTTGCTCAGTCGACATTGAGATTACATTTCCCACTCGGAAAATTCTTGACTATCATTGGTTGATGTTTTATTTTAGTACGCTATTTTTATGGCTCTCTCAAGGATGTTTCTATCATGTATAAATAAGCACGATTTGTGTGTTTGTGAAACTCATATTTGCTGGGTGCTTGTAGAATACACTTTCTACGCCTGATCAAGACTTGATCTAGTTAGCCGGGCCGGGGACAAATGGATTAGAATAGCCTATCATGTCACTGCATCCATTTGTCTTCGCTCTCGTTTTCCGAGTAAGGTGAACTCGTAATAGTTTCAAGCATATCAGTTGGCGAGCATCTCACCAGTGAAATAAATTCAAAAGGCGAGAAAAACTATTATAAGGAACTCAGAAGATTATAATTTGAGAGAACACAAAGAGCGGATGCACCTGAGCCATTTCAAACGATTTTTAGCCATATCATTCAAGGTCTCTAACCGTCGATTACTATTGTCTTGTGGACCCTAACCAAGCAGTATGCTCAGCTCACTTCTCAGTGACTTCATGGATTTGTGCCATCTTTTTGTCTGGTTGCCCCTATCTTTTTTTCAGCCTACCCGTAACACTAAGCATCATCGCTCTTTGAGGTAGTCGGTGGTTGGGCATATATGACTGACGGGATTTCATCATTTCATCTATTGATCTGCCATCCTTACGTAGTATTCTTTTCCTAACAATTGTATTCGCATACTCGATAGTCCCAATGTGGTGCGAGCTACTTATAAGTAGTATATGACGCGAGTGTAAACGTAATGTCTGGCAGCAGAAGATGGGGGAAGATCAAGAAAGGAAGAAGAGTGGGAACACAATGGAATTTGTATGAAACGCATGAATAGTGACAATGGATTGATGTTTTGCAACAGGAGCAGTCCAGTTCAATATGATGAACTGATATTTTACAAATGAACGGTTTACGATATGGTTTTCCGATTTTACTGAGTAACTCTGTAATTTCGCTAAATACAATTCGGTTGCCTCACCTGTGTTCTCGTTCACTACACCATGATAAACGAGCAATGCTTTGGCGATCGATACCTCTGATCAAAAACCAGTAACCTATGAATAGCTTTTACACTTACTAGCCATGTTTCACATCCATATAGTAGTCTGCTGTGTAGTAGACTTGTTTATTGTTTATCAAACAAATATCTCACCTAAGGCCAAAAGTGACCCAGATTGGTGAAAGCCAGTCGAGCCAACTCAGTGCGATGAAAAATGTCTAAGTATTTATAATCAGACCAAAAATAATGAGCTAGACATATAATAAACGATGTAAGCTATGCACATACTTACTTATTTGAGTAAAAACAACTAAGATTTTAACCGGACATGTGAATAGTAATTAGGGCAGAAAAAAAAGTTAATTAGTTTATCCAAATTCTAGGAAACAGGCCATGTGCACTCTTAACATAGAATAGTGCATACACAAAATAAGAATATATGTATGATAAGTTAGACTGAAGTACAATAATTTGTTAGTTGATAGTAAACATGAAGTTGAAAAGAAATAATTCTGGCTAAGTAACTATGTATGGTGTGTGGATGATTTGATCTGTTCAAGGGGACAATACATGCTTAGTGTTAAAGTCTAGTGAGGGTTATATGCCACATTTGTTCACTTTTCTCAGTTCATGGTTGTTATGTATGCACGTAAACAGGTCATTTGAGATGCTTGAATTATTACGAGTTTACCTTAGTCAGTAAACGAGAGCTAGGATCGAGGATCCGGCGACATGAGATGCTACTCTAATCCGAGCGTACCAACCACCCATTGAGTAAAAGAAGAAGACTTGATATGAATTAGAACCTGAGCATCCAGAAAGTATGAGGTCCGAATCCAGAAGAGAATCAGGATCCTGGACTAGGGATCCGGGACCGGCTCCTGGTCCTGGTCATAAAACGTTACACATAATGCGTATTTATACAATTAGGTCGAATAGGAAACAACATTGAAGTCTGTGACATTGACAGTTAGGATGACCAATCAAAAACAACATTTGAAGTGACATTGACAGTCAGGACTACCGATAGGAACCATTAGAAAAATTATCGTACGATATTGGATCAATATCTTAACAATGACCTACTTTCAAAAAGATTTTACACTGGTGGAGTTCAGCTGTGTTGAGACAACAGATGATGATCACGCATTATTGTGGATTGACTTATGTTGGACATTCACCCTGTGGTATAGAGGTTAATCGTTCGTGCATGAAACCGTAGGCCCTAGGTTGAATTCACGCTCCCGACGTTGTGGATTCGCATTGTTGATGAGTTCAACGGTAGGACGAAACACCCGTTCAATTCTTTCAGGTTTCTAATGACGGCCTAACATTAATCAGTTCATGATTTTAATGAAACTTAACTAATCAATAACCTCTTCATAAAAAAAATGTGTAATAATCGACAACACCCAACATTGTATCAGCATGATGATGATGATGGAAAGCTGAACAGATTTAAACAAAGATTTTTAAATTCATGACTAATAAAAGTTTTAAAATTTGCCACACCTATCAGTTAGTTTTATGCCAAAAAAGAAATAGTTCAATAATGTAGATTATTAAAACAAATGAATAAATATGTGAGTTTATCCTCTAATATTCCATTAAGTTCATACAAGGTTGTAATAAAATATTCCAATAACCTTGAACACACTGACCTATCAACCAATCAAAAAAATGAGGTTATAATAGAATATTCCAATAACCTTGAACACACTGACCTATTAACCAATCAAAAACTGCTGTCTGGTTATGAAAGGAATTCACAACACACAAAAGAACGAAATACCAATAGAAACATAGTTTTGAACTGGAATAATCAACCGTCACATGTCAAACTGTTCCTTGTACTCAAAGGTTATCACTCTGTAGAGTTTTTGTCAGCAACGGATACTAGCTAGAATGCTAAAAGTTTAGGGCTAGTTATCATAACTAAAGCTGCAGTTCTAAGTTCGGTATTCCACAGAATGACATCAGTTATGCTGTAATGTTTTAACGACCTTCTATGTACAAACTTAAAGAACTAAGCACTAACATTCTGAGTACTGTCTAGCTTCACTGAACACTTTTGTCTGTACATTGAATTACATCAAGTACATTAATACATCGGTTACCTTGAGAACAACTTGGTTTTAGAGCTAAAAATAAACATCATCTTAAATTCGCCTTTCTGGTTTCATTGTGGAAATGCTTCTATTGATTTCAAGCACTTAAAACACTATATATTGCTCATTTCTAACTCGTTAATAATCGTAATAATAAGATACAAATTATTTACCGCTGAAATCTAAATTTCGCGCAAAATACATGAGACATTAAGCTTAACTCTGATTGGTTCACTCAAGGCCATTTATCATTTTAAATATCTATGTGTTAAATTAAAAACAAAGAAAAACTGGTTTCAATATAATTAGGATTAATAGTGAGCAGTATATCACACTTCAATACAAATGTCAAGGCAGTTCTACTGTATGGAGCGGAAACTTGGAGAACTACCAAAGCCATCATCCAGAAGATACAAGTGTTTAAATAACAGTTGTCTACGCAAAATACTTCGGATTCGTTGGCCAGACACTATCAGCAACAACGTACTGTGGGAGAGAGCAGACTTGATTCCAGTGGAGGAGGAAATCAGGAAAAAGTGGTGGAAGTGAATAGGACACACACTACCAAAAGCACCTAACGGCATCACAAGACAAGCCCTTACTTGGAACCCTCAAGGCTAAAGGAAAAGAGGAAGACCAAGGAACACATTACGCCAAGAAATAGAGAAAGATATGAGAGGAATGAACAAACATTGGACAGAACTGGAAAGGGAAGCCCAGGACAGAGTTGGTTGGACAAAACTGATGGGCGGCCTATGCTCCATTGGGGATAACAGGCGTAAGTAAGTAAGTAAGACAGGTTCAGCAAAGTTTGTTAAGCAAGCATGCAGTAGGGGGATCTTCATCAATTCAGATGGTTGGGACATGTGTTACGTGTACGCTTAACCAACGATTGCCTCGATGACTGATGTTATTTGATGTAGGAGTAGGTTGGAATAAAGCTAGGAGCGGTCAAACAAAGAAAAAACATGGCAGTAGTTCCATGAAGTCACTGACTACTGAACTGAGTCATGTTAACAGGTATAGACTAGCAGCTGGTCGGGGTCTGCGATACAGTTGTAACTAGCGGTTAGAAATTTGAAATGACATGACTCAAAGTTGTTTGTAATAGCTTAGGTGCATCCATTCTTTGCCTTCTCTCAACTTATAAATCTCAATTCTTCATGACCGTTTTTTCGATTTTTTAATTTATTTCACCGGACTATAACTTCTTAAATCGTATTTTCGATCCGTACAACTTCTTGAACTATTGGGTTTGATATTTTGGTGCACTTTTGTAGGTTTATGTTTTTACACATTTGAAATCATCAATCAATGATTGTTGAGAAGACGTGACCAATGGAGTTCAACCCTGTCAGGTGTACGCAGTAACTACCAAAGACCTGGGTGAGGTCGCGCAAAATCCCTAGATCAATCAGAGTTAGACATTAACACCATTGGATGCCGGTCCAGTGGTCTGATTGTTAGGCGTTCGTGCACAATACTGAAGGTCCTGGGTTCGAATCCTGTGAAGTGCAGGAGTCGTGGATGCGCACTGTTGATGAGTCCCATACCAGGACGAAACGGCTGTCCAGTGCTTGCAAGTTTCTATTGGATTTGAACTGATAATTTCATCTCTCTATGCTAATGTGGTTGTGGCAACTTGAACTGATGTACGTACGTACGTACCGACTCACCAAGTTCTACATTGTACCTGACTGAATGACTGTCAAGCAAGCATTCAACTTCATCATTTTATTACTAGACCTCTTCAAATACTGAATTCGAAATTGATTACATCATATCTTGTACTCAGTTATTCAGTGTATAAACGATAGACAGGGAATACATAACTGATAACAAACTGTTGTAAATTATTTCTAATATATTATCATTCAAATTTATAAACAATGAACATTCAACTACTTATATTTGATATCAGTAGTACCGTATGTGGTGATTTTTTGTCCAACACCATTATTTTAAAAATTAATCATATTGTATCATATAAATCATCTAAAATCGATCAGTTTCAAAATCAAAGTCGAGTTCTGACGTAAATGTTGTTTTATTCAGTCATTAAATGACCCCAGCTCACGGGGTCATGCATGCGCACTGCCCCACTGATGAGTAGTTCCATATGAGGACGAAACTTTCGTCCAATGTTTCCAGGTATCTGATTGTGGTCTAATAATGTTTGATTCGTGATTTTAACTCTATGATGAAAATCATAAAAATGTGCTCATTGATGATCAGCTTCGTGAAGAAATTTCTCCAAGTTCTAGTGAGAAGTCATGACCAGTGTGGAGTTAGTTCAACTTTGTCGGGTGGTAGGCATTTACCCACCGAAGATAATGGGTATCATTTAGTTTTAAATACTACTGTTGTGCACAAAAACTCAGGTGAGGACATCAACAACTATATTTAAACGAATATTACAGAGGTGTTAAGCATATGTACAAAACCTTCCCGTGAAATCATCATTTGTAAACTAATCCTTATTTTTGTTTCAGATTTCAGTGTTCAGTGTTCATTTAGACTGTTCAGACTTCAGTTCACTTTACGTTACCTACAAATTGCCTTCTGTTCTCATTCTTTCCTTCTCAATCTTTTGCTGTCAGACGTTTTTTGATTTCCGTTTGATATCATATACTACTTATGTGAACATAAGTAGTGTACACCACACTATTACACTACATACTATTAGTGTAATTTGTCAAATGATAATATTCTCGCATATGAAATTCATTTTCAATGTTTCAGTAAGTCGTAAATTTTCAAGAGGACACAATTTATTTTAAAATTCTTTCATATTTTAGTTCCAAGCCAATGAATTCATCCTATCAGCCTACTGCTTCGTCAACATTCATTCCCGTACAACAACACCAAACAAATTCACCGTGTACAACATTCACTTCTTCTGGTGGTATTGATGTTGGTAAGTTGATTTATTCATTTGTGCAAGAGTGTTTCTGTTCTTTATTGAATTGAATAATGTTATCAATATATAAATATATATTGAGAGCCTAAATGACCTGATACAACTGAGAGTGAGATGTGTCTATTCTTCCTCTCTTTTTCTTCCTGTCTAAATGTTCTTGTATGGTGTTACTTACGCCTACAAGTAAACTGTCAACTTGATATACTTGAACTATGGCGAGTTTACCTTAGTCGGAAAACGAGAGCGAGGATCGAGGATCCGGCGACATGAGATGCTACTCTAATCCGAGCGTAACAACCGCCATATTGAGTAAAAATAAGAAGACTTGGATGTGAAGTAGAACCTGTAGTCTACAAGCATCCACAAAGTACGAGGTCTGAGTCCAGAAGTCAATCAGGATCCCGGACTAGGGATCCGGGTCCTGGTCGTGGTCATAAAACGTTACAGATAATGCATATTTATACATTTTGGTCGAATAGGAAACAGTATCGAAATCTGTGACATTGACAGTTAAGACGACCAATAGGAAGTAACTTTTGAAGTGACATTGATAGTTAGGACAACCAATAAGAAACAACATTGGAGCTGGTGACATTGATATCTAGGACGACCATAAAATTGACCAATAGGAATTAACCAATAGGAATTGACCAATAATTCTCTTAGGATATTGGATGAATATCCTAACATATGGTCATGAATATAAAGCTACTGCTAGGACTTCTTGTGACTAAAGTGTTGTTGCTTAAATTGAGAATTGGAAAGGTCAATGTTTGACACTTGAATACGGTTGTTAAGTAGGTAGGTAGGTAGGTAAGAATATCAACCCTAGAGAAGTTGGTGAACTCTGATTTCAAACCACTGGTTGGTGTATATGAGTTTCAGGATCCTGACGGAACAAAATGGAGAAGATTAGGGCTCGAAGAAATTCATCAAAGAGTATATCCCAGTGAAATAAATTTAATGAGAGAAAGAGGAATTAAGAGAACACAAAGTATAGATGCACCTGCACCCACTGCAAACGATTTTTAGCCATTTCATTCAAATTCTCTAACCAGCAGTTACGATTATCTCGCAGATCCCCCAACTAGGAAGTCTATATTTACTAACATGTCTCATTTCAGTTATCATGGAATGTTTTTGGTTTCGGCCGCCAACAGCTCTTTCTTTCAGCTCACCCGTACATCAGATCACATCACTCATCGCTGTTGTCGACGGTTAGGCATACACAACACATGTCCTAACCGACTCAAGATTCTCTATTTCGTCAATTGATTTGCCATCCTCTTACTCGATGGTTCCATGATATACGAGCAATGCATCATAGACACCGTTTACCGAATACTAATAACTTACGAATATCCACTGCCTTGTAGATTGAATCTGTAAGTCAGAGGATTCGTGAATTGGTTCCTAAGAAAACTATCTGCTCTGGTTTAAGCTGCCTTTATGTTGGGGATGTTAGATCCCCAGAACTCGCTTAATAAATGCCTTATTTTGTATTTCACGTTTGCGAGCATTGGCTGATCAGTTGACCTTGAGATTTCGATTCCCACCAGGAAAATCAATGGCTGTGATTGACTGCTGTGTATCTTAGTGTGCTATTTTCGTAACTCTCCCAAGGACGTTTCTATGATGTATAAATAAACGAGAGTTGTGTGCTTGATTGTATTGTGATTGCTGGGTGTTTGTAGAATTGACTTTCTACGCTTACAAAGCCTTGTATTTACAGCTTGGGATTCAAGGTAGCCTACGTGGACGCTGGTTCATTATCTCGTTCGCGTTTATCAACTAAGGTGAACTCGTAATAGCTTCAAGCATACTTAGTGACGAATATAACACTTTATGTAGAGTACCATTGGATTTGAACTGATCATCACACTTGTTTGCACTAATATGATATGATAACTTGTAGTACGAATGTGTATATACGTACTGAATCTTACCTTACAACTCATTCAATTCAAGGATTTGATTTTGACCAATTTGGTCTCGTGTGCTGTTACGGGTATGAGGGCGGTTGTCACTTTCCGGCTGCCCACACCGTGCAAGGTTGTTTCTTGAGGGACCTGAAAAGGAAGATAGATTAGTGTTGGTCTTAGAGACCTGGGTGCGCGACAGCAGAGCCCAACGGACAACTGCTTTAGGCCGGTCACGCACGGCCTTTTTAAGAAAAGTTTTTTGAGGATTAGCTCCGCTCCTAAAGGCCCTTAGTGGGCACCCTTACCGACGGAGACGGAAATCCGTGAGGTAGGGTGAGATGTGACATTTTTAGGGTCGACCTTTTCTAACCCTTCCTTCCTTGTGAGAAGGCAGCATCGCCGCAGATGCTGGTTGTCCGAGGGAAACACCCTACTGCTGTCACACCCCTCTGCAATCAGCAGTACGACTTCGCCCTCAGACCTTGAGTAGCTGCTTTTAGTCTGATCGTTCTCCAATCGACCTGCCTGGCATGGTAGAACGAACCTTCAGGAACATATGTTCCAGCCAATATAGCTCGGTTGTGTCATCAGGATAGGCAAGCCCGACCACCACGTCAAGGTAGCAGCTTCGGTCGGGACTCATTCACTACAATTCAGTAGCATCGTTTATCACTGGATGTACATATATTTGATTACATTTGATAGTTTGTTTGTCTATTCTTACCCTTATCATAGGAATCCTACCAAATAATGAATTATCGAAGCAATCAAATCATAATCATTCTTCACATTTAACTACTGTCATTCATCATCATCCTGTTCAAAGTCAACCGATAAAACAAAATCACCCGGTGAATTCGAATGTTGTTGTTAATCAACAATCATCGGATACTTCATCAAGTAAGTTCATTACTACTAATATTATTATTATTATCATCAGTATTAGGATTGTTGAGTCTTTTTTCCTAAATGATTGATCTTGAAATCAATAATTGCTAGACAGCACTATTGGACAAAACCTGCAAGCTCTGAACGGCTGTTTCGTCCTGATATTGGACTCATTAGTAACAGTTCTACGTTGCAACTGACTGACTGACTGACTGACTGACTGACTGTGCGCATCCATGACTTCTGCTGCAACTTTCAGGGTTCGAACATAGGACGTTGGGTCTTGCATGCAAACGCTTGATTTCTAAACCGCTGAGCTGACATCCAACACTTTTAATGTCTAACTCTGGTCAATCTAATGATTTTGCGTAAGCGTACGCTGAGGTTAGGCGTTCAAACGCAAACCCGAATGTCCTGAGTTCAAATCCTGTGAGTAGCAGGAGTTGTAGATTGCGCAATGTTACTGATGAGTCCCATGCTGCGATGAAACGGTCGTCCAGTGTTTTCAGGCTTCTAATGTTTGCCTAACAGTGATTCATTCATAATTTCAAGGTAAAACTGTCATCTCCATAATACTCTAATGTAGACAGCTACTACATGGATGCTTTGAATGACTTATTCTGTCTAATATACAACTACTCACCACTACACACCCTATGACTTCGCCTAAGGGAACCGAACTTGAGATGTTCGCTTTCGCGTACACGAACACTTAACATATGTCCAACTTGAATCAATCAGTTGCGAAATCATAATACTGTCGGGGATGTTAGATCTCCAGAATTCACTTGATAAAGGTCCTAATTTTGGATTTTATTCATGGCCTAATTAGTTGACCTTGAGATTACATTTCCCACCGGGAAAATCCTTGACTATCATTGGTTGATGTAGTATTTTAGTATGCTATTTTTGTGGCTCTCTCAAAGACGTTTCTATCATGTATAAATAAACTCGATTTGTGTGCTTGTGAACCTCATATTTTCTGGGTGCTCGTAGAATACACTTTCTACATCTTGTCCAGACTTGTTCGTCTTAGTGGGGCCTGGATCATTTGTCTTCACTCTCGTTTAACGACTAAGATGGACTTGTGAAGTAGACGTTTTGACAGTCATTGATATTTACCAATTAAATATATTCTTATCTATTATACTATCCAGAAATGCATTGTTCATTCAAATTTTCGGGTTCAATTTAATCTAATCTTACTATCGAAGCTTTGAATTATCTCAGTGATTTAAAGGTTTTTTTATCTAGTAAAATAAAGCATGATAATGGTTGGGCGGAAAAAAGGATGAACGCCATCTGGAGCCCTCCCTGGTCTACTGCCCGTCCCAATCCTGACCGGACAAAGGAGGAGGGTTGGGCGTAGGGTTAGTGACCCTATCCCATCGAAAACCAACTCACTAAGAAAAAACGCAGATCGAATTTTAAACTATCAAAGAATACAAATCACTCTTTACTGTGATCAGTACTAACTAATAAATTATGGAAACAAAAATTTTCCTGCGAACCACTCATCATCCAAAATTTTTTATGATAAGAAGTATAAATTTTCATGATACAGTTGTGAAGATTGTTGAGTTTCATTGAAATAATGAAAATCACTGTACAAAAATATACTGACTAGTGATTAACTGCATGAAGAAATCCTGAGAGTTCTTTTAATGAAAAGAAGCCATGATCAGTAGAATTCAACCTTGTCGGATGTAGTCAGTTGCCTATCGAAGACAGTGAGTGAGGTTATACAATATCTTAGATCGCTTAGAGTTAGACATTAACACCGTTGGATGCCAGCCCAGTAGTCTAGAAGGTGAAGCGTTCACGCACAAGATCAAATGTCTTGGGTTCAACCATCATGAACGTGGATAGTGGATACGCAGCGCTAATGAATCCTATACTAAGAAGAAACGGCCATTCACTGCTGTCAGGTTTCTTTCTAATTGTGGTGCGAGCTACTTATAAGTAGTATATGACGTGAGTGTCAACGTAATGTCTGGCAGCAAAAGATGAGGGGAAGATCAAGAAAAGAAGAGTTAGAAGAACACAATGGAATTTGTATGAAACGCATGAATAGTGAGTGACAATGGATTGATGTTGTTTGCAACAGGAACAGTCCAGTTCGATATGATGATGGACTGATATTTTGCAAATGAACAATTTACGATATGGTTTTCCAATTTTACTGAGTAACTCTGTAATTTTCGTTAAATACAATCCGGTTGCCCCATCTGTGTTCTCGTCCACTACATAATGATGGTCTAACAATGATCGATTCATAGTTTCAATAAACCAACCACATTCTTCACTTTAGAAAACTAAGTCATCACATTGGATTGCTTGTTTTTATCGTTCTAAAGAAATTAGATTTAAGTTCACTCTGATGACCTGAAAAGGTCATTTGTAAAAGAAAAAATGACCAACAGAAAAGAGTGAAACTAAACAATTGGATATTTCTCCCTTTTATTGTTGTTTGTTGAAAGAAATACGTTTTTAAGTCCAGAGTGGACAAATATTCTCTTTGTCTTTCTGTCTATTAGAATTGTGTCAGTGTAGTAGTTATTAGTGGGGGGGGGTTGTTATTTCCAATATGTCTGTCACATATGAAGTTGAGTTGAGTTTCATTTGAAATCATGAATTGGATCAATAATTAGACTAAAGCATTGGAAGGCTGGAAGCACTGGATGGGTATTTCGTCCTAGTGTTAGGACTCATCAGCAGTGCATACCCAGTTTGTGAAGGAATTTTATGAAGTTCTAGTGACATGTCGTGACTTAGTGGAATCCAACTACATCTAGTATGAGGTAGTTTTCCACTGAAGACTAACGATAGCGGTCGCTCAGTATCATTGATTGACTGAAATTAGATATTTACACCTCTCGGATGCCAGCTCGGTGTGTGGTGCGCGCTACTTATAAGTAGTATATGACGTGAGTGTCAACGTAATGTCTGGCAGTAGAAGATGGGCGAAGATCAAGAAAGGAAGAGTGGGAACACAATGGAATTTCTATGAAACGCATGAATCAGTGAAATGTCAGACAATGAATTGAAGATTTGCAAATTAACGGTTACGATATGGTTTTCCTATTTTTCTGAGTAACCCTGTAATTTTCGTTAAATACAATTCGGTTGCCCTCACCTGTGTTCTTCTTCACCACAGGTGGTCAATAGGTTAAGGGTCTGCGCACAAGACCAAATATCGTGGATCTAATTCCCGTTACTCGGAGTCATAGATCCGCACTACTGATGAGTCCCATGCAAGGACGAAACGGCTGTCCAGTGCTTTCAGGTTTCTGATGTTGGTCTAACATTGAGCTATTCAATCTGTACAATCTTCACAACCCTGTAGCGAAAAATATAATATTTTTTCTCACTCAACCATTTGTAAGGATTATACTAATGAACCGTATTCGCTCACTTTTGATTGGTTCCCTGTTCTTATTTCTTAATATTGGTACTAAGGAGGCACCTAAATATTTATGTTCCACACACACAAATCATGGGATTAATAGCCCAAGCGCCCCAGGTGGTTTTCTCAGGAGGCTACATCCCGAGCCTTCGATCTCAAATTCTAATTGACATGTTAGTGGAGAAAAGTCAGGTAACTGAAAATTAGTTCATACGTTATTAGTTCCGTCAGGATCGTGGTTTGGAATCAAGGTTTTCCAACTGCCCTAGGTCGACGTTTCCCCCTTCCATACCCACCTAACTAGTTTTGGATGCCACAGACTCGCTTTCCATCTTATTTACTTCGTAAACCACACCCTGCCATGAGAAAACAATGAGTAGAACTTCCATGAACATATGAGTGAGACCCCACTCCTGATCTTACCAAGGCATTTGACGGCCCACGACTTGTTTTCTTTAAGGTAGTTGAACAGTCTAATAAATTGATCGATGTTAAAGAATATCCTAGTTTTGCAAAAAGCATTAACTTCACTGGGTTGTGAAATGTGAAAATCTTGAGTTCAATCATTATTTGAATTTTTATACTAAACGAAAACATTTGTTTTGAACTCTTATGGAATTTTAAAAGTTATTGAGTTTCACATTGAAATCATGAGTGAATCATTGTTAGACTACCACATTAGAAACCTGCAATCACTAAACGGCCGTTTCATCCTAGTATAGGACCCTGTTGGGTGTAGGCAGTTATCAACTGGAGACAATGAGTGAGGTTATGCTAGATCCTTAGATTGATCAGAGTTATTCGGCAATAACACTGTTAGATTTCGCCGAATCAGTAGTCCAGAGGTTAAGCGTTCACGCGCAAATTCATAGGTCCTAGGTCCAAATCAGTTAAGATATTCATCAAATATACTAAGAGAATTATTTCTGTAAGTCTAATTCTATTGGTCAGTTCCTACTGGTCAATATTATGATTGTCCTAGATATCAATGTCACGTACTTCAATATTGTTTCCCATTCAGTGAGTCAGTTACAACGTAGAACTTTGTACGTGAGTACATCAGTTCAGGTTGTCGTACCACATCAGCACACAGAGATTTAATTGTCAATTCAAATCCCATAGTGGTAGAGATAGTAGGAGTATTCGCAGTAATGGAGAAGATTAGGATTTGAAGATATTATTCAACAAGTATAATTCAGTGAGATAAGTTCAGAAAGACAAAGGTGGAGGTGTTGACGAATTCAGAAGATTAGAATTTGGGGAGACGCAAAGAGTGAATGCACCTGCACCATTGATGACTTTCGTCTCGTGGACCCCAATCAGGTAGCCTATATCTACCAACATAACTCAGTACACTTGCCAGTGATTTCATGGATTTCTGCCGTGTTTTGGTCTGGCGTTGTTCCCTACTGGTCATCCTAACTGTCAATGTCACAGACTTCAAATGTTTTTTCCTTTTCAACCTAACAGTATAAATACGCATCAGCTGTAACGTTTTATGACCGGGACCCGGATCCCTAGTCCGTGTTTGTATAGTGTTTGTAGAATACAAGTTCTAATTCATATCAAGTCTTCTTCGTTTACACAATATGGAGGGTTGGAACAATTAGATTAGTGTAGCATGTCTTGTCGCCGGAGCATCTATCCTCACTCTCGTTTACTGACCAAGGTAAACTCATAATAATTCAAGCTTATCAAATGACATGTTTACGTGCATTCGTAACAAAATCCTACGAGTAGCAGGAGTCATCGATACGTAGCGCTACTGATTAATCAGTCTCATACCAGAACGAACCAGTCCTCTTTAAATGTTTACCAATTTTCTAATGTTAGATATTAGTCTAACAATACTGGCTGAATTCATGATTTTTGAATGTGTCAAAACGACAATCTCTACTATAAAAGTTATAATAATGATTATTGTAGGATTTAATTTATCCTACAGATGTAATTCTACAACGGTAAACACAATATTGGCAAGCACAGAGTGAGTCTATGGGAAAGCTACAGTTAGAACAAGATCAACTTTTGCTTTAAACTTTATCTATTTCTAAACATAAGAAATACAATTAAATTAGTACAATAAATAAGGAAATTACAATTATATTCAAGTAAGACGAGCGAACGTACCGACCAATATATCGTGTCTTATGGAAATGAGTAGTACGGTTATGATGGGTCACATCAATACTAATAAGATAATAATGACCTTCAATTTGTAGGTCATTTACAACAAACAAAATTTACAGACATGTCAGATCAGATCAGATCACGTGGTGGGCGCTTAAATCACAATTTGATTGGTTAGTTATGATATAACTACAATTAGTTATGGAAAATAACTAACAATTATTTCTATTGTTATTTTTATTACTGCTCAGATTCATCATCATTTGTGGATATAATACAATCAATGAATTTGTCTGCACAAACATTGGCTATATTTAATGAATTCAATATTGGTTAGTTTTTAATGAAATTATGCGATGATAGTTTTTGATTTTCCCCTGAGTTTCTTTGGTAAATTTGTGGATTCGGTTAAGGCGTTCGCGCGCGACACCGAAGGTCGTGGGTTCGAATCCTGCGGGGTGCAGGAGTCGTGGGTACGCACTGCTGAGGAGTCCCATACCAGCACGCAACGCCTGTCCAGTGCTTCTAGATTTCTAATAGTGGTCTACCATGGATCGATTCATGTTCTCAAAAATGTGCAACTTAACAATCTACACAACCCCGTAATGCAGATTTTAATTATGTCAAATATTGTTGTTTTTAAATGTTGTGAATGTGTTGAGGATACTGGCTATATTGAGTGCCAAAAATTGAAGCCAAATGGTGATTCTTTTAAGGGAGACCATAACATGAGAATTTGATCTACAGCTGTAATCCATAAGACAATGGAGCAACATCTGGAAGTGTGTAGTTGTTGTTGCATCTGCATCCTGGAGCGAATATGCACCATTAGTTTGGAATCAATACTATCTTATTTCCCCAGATAGATTCTCCAAGCTCAACACCTTACCCGGCTTAAGCCCTTTCCGGATATTTGCTTTTCATCCTCTGAATTTCGTAAGCAATATCTGTTCCATGAGAAAGCAGCGAGTGTTTTTGATCAATTTGGTCTCGTGTGCTGTTACGGGTATGAGGGCGGTTGTATATTCCCGGCTTCCCACTCCGTGGTAGGTTGTTTTCTTGAGGGACCTGAAAAGGAAGATAGATTAGTGTTGGTCTAAACGACCTGGGTGCGTGACCGCAGAGTCAAAGGGACAACTGCTTCGTGCCAGTCACGCATGACCTTTTTATGAAAGCATTTTTGAGGATTAGCTCCACTCTTGAAAAAGCCCTTACCGACGGAGACGGAAATCTGTGAGGTAAGATGAGGTGCGACATTTTTGGGGTCAACCTTTTCTAATCCTTCCTTCCTTGTGAGAAGGCAGCATCGCTGAAGATGCTAGTTGTCCGAGGGAAGTACCTTGCTGCTGTCGCACCTCTCCATCACAGTCAGCAGTACGACATCGCCCTCAGACCTTGAGTAGTTGCTTTTAGTCTCATCGTTATCCAATCGACTTGTCTGGCATGGTAGAACCTACAGGAACATATGTTCCAGCAAATATAGCTGTGTTGGATCATCACGATAGTCAAGTCCGACCACCACGTCAAGGTGGCAGCGAGTAGGAGTTCCTTGATAGTGGCAATACATGCATATAAGTATGAGCGCATTCAGAGTGAAGACAGATAATTTACTCTTACTACTCTCGGCAGTGCCGGGGCGTTTGAGGAAGTAATATAGTTGATTGATTGAAGTTAAACATGAACACCGTCACGCGCCCACTCAGTGGTCTAGAGGTTAAGCTATCCATCATGCGTGTGATCAAAGGTCCTGTGTTTTGCTTGCTCGTATGAGGTTGTGGTTGCGCACTGTTAATATATCCCGTAGTAGGACGAAACGGCTATTCAGTCCGTCCAAGTTTCTAATGATCGTAGTAGGCTAACATCAGCTACTATGACGTTGAGTATTGTAGGGAGTTACACATAGTGTTTACCGATAATTTAAAATGAGAATCAGTTTATATTGAATAGAATCACAACTGATAAAAGACTGATTCGTATGTACGTAAAGATCGGTAGTTGGATACTATGACAGAGTTTCTAGTGTGTTTGCATACAAGTATGTTGAACTCACAGGACTTGTCCGATCTGTTTTCTACCCGAGTCATTATTCATTCATCTATCGACCTTGTTAATTATTCGTGGATGCGCACTGCCACTAATGAGTCCCATATTAGAACCGAAACGGCCGTCCAGTGCTTCCAGGTTTCTTCTAATGATACTTACTTACTTACTTACGCCTGTCACCCCCCAAAGAAGCATAGGCAGCACACCAGTTTTCTCCAACCAACTCTGTCCTGGGCTTCCCTTTCCAGTTCTGTCCAATGTTTGTTCATTCCTCTCATATCTTTCTCTATTTCTCGGCGTATTGTGTTCCTTGGCCTTCCTCTTTCGCTTTTGTTTTGAGGGTTCTAAGTGAAGGCTTGTCTCGTTACGCAGTTAGGTGCTTTTGTAGTGTGTGTCCTATCCACTTCCACCTCTTCTTCCTGATTTCCTCCTCCACTGGAATCTGGTTTGTTATTTCCCACAGTAAGTTGTTGCTGATCGTGTCTGGTCAACGAATCCGAAGTATTTTGGCTAGACAGCTGTTAATAAATACTTGTATCTTCTGGATAATGGCTTTGGTAATACTCCAAATTTCCGCTCCATACAGTAGAACTGTCTTCACATTTGTATTGAAAATCCTGATTTTGATTTTGGTTGGTAGTCGGTCTAACAATAATTGATTGATAATTCCAGTGTGCAAAAAAAACACTGATCTTTATAACTACAACTGAAAAAATTATTCGTTTAAAATCTGGGTTGTTTTTGTCGGAATGCGTATGTGCATTGTTTACTCCTCATATCACATGTACTGAGCTTATTTTGGTCTGACTGTAAACACTTAGTCATTCCTCATCTCATCGAGTTGACTTACTTGCCTTCTCCACTTCGTTTCTCTTTGTTTACACGCTTTTTGCATTCTCATGTTTGTCCTGCATGAACAAGATTGCATGAAATGAACTCATTCAACTAAATTCGTATTCGACTTCTTATTACTGCCGTCGCATAAACTCCGGTTCACCTAAGCACATGATATACAGAAACTGAAGAAGAGAGATTTATTTCATGGCACATTCTCATTTGTTCGTCCCAAATAGTAAAGTCAAATCATACAAACCACGATAGTAGTGGTCAACAGTTCTACTTCGAATTGAACATAGCCACTAAAAGTTCATCATAACCTAAACATATTATTTTCAATTAGAGTTATGGCAATTAGTGTTTTCACACATTTGAAATCCTTAATCAATCATTGTTAGACAGCCTCATTAGAAACCTGGAAGCACTGAAAGACGGCCGTTTTGGTCCTAGTATGGGACTACTCATCAGTGGCAGTGCGCATCCACGACTCCTGCACCACCTCGCAGGATTCGAACCCGGGACCTACGGTATTATCGTGAATGCGCACTGCCACTGATGAGCTAGTCCCATACCAGGACGAAACGACCGTCCAGTGCTTTTAGGTTTCTAATGGTGGTCTAACAATAATTGACTGATGATTTCTAAAAAATACTTCTCAGATTTGTGAAATTTTTTAACAGTGAATTGACAGACTAATCGTGTTAAGCCTAAGCCTTTAGTTTATCGACTCTCTAATCCCTTAATTTTAACATTGATCAACTACGCTTGTTTATTTACTACAATACTGATATAATTCATTGTTTTCATGCATATTAAAGCTTGTTTCTCCCTATTTCTCTCCTCTCTCTCTCTCACACACTCACTCTCTCACACTCACTCCCTATCTATTATTCATTTTATTCAACAACATTTTTGAATATTTCAGTTGATGCTAATCAAATCCCTGGTTATCATCCAATTTCATCTGGTCTACCTGATTGGAAAATTCATCAGTTGAAACGAAAAAATCAAGATGCAGCAAATAGTTATGCAGTAAGTATGCCTTTATGTCTATATGTCTATATGTATATGTGTGTGTATGTGTATACTGCGGAGTTGTTAAGAATTTCTTGTTATGACGACAATGTGGGTGTTGTCCGGTATTCTTTTTTTCGGCAACTGTTAACGTTATTCCAGTGAGTTAGTTTTCCACGTGGTGGGGTCACTAACCCCCATGCCCAACCTTCTTCCTTTACTCGGCTGGGCTTGGAACTGGCAGTCGCCCCAGAGGGGTTCCAGGCGTACTAACCGCCTAAACTGGCTGCTTGAACAAGAAGATGGAAGAGAAAATCTATTGTCGGCTGTTCGGTATTTTTTTTCAACGTCAATACGTTTGAATGATTATTTTCCGGTTAGCGTTTTTTTAGCGAGTCTATTTTCTACGAGATTGGGTCACTAACTGATACGCTCATCAGTTAGTGAAACTATTACAAGTTTACCTTACTGGGTAAACGGAGCGAAGACAAATAATGCGATGACACAGTAGACTAATATAATCCGTTTGTCTCCAGCCTGGCTAACTATATGAAGAAGTCTTGAAAAGGAGTAGAATGTGTATTCTACAAGCACTCAGATAATACGAGGTTAACAAGCACACAAATCGAGCTTATTTATACATGATAGAAACGTCCTTGGAAGAGCCACAAAAATAGCCTGCTGAAATAATCCATCAACCGATGACAGTCAAGGATTTTCCTGTTGTGAATCAGTTTATATTGAAAAGCATCACAACCAGCGCCAGTAGTATCAATGAAATCGCTTACCTTGCTAATCAATTTTGTATAAGGACTGTTAGTAATACCTGCCAAAGCAATCACAAACCATCCACAATGTTCACAACGAACTTCTGGTCTCATAAGAAACCTTCAGCAGCAGTATAGCATCGTATGGTATACACATAGTATGGCATAGGATAGAGTAAGATATGCAGTCCAGCTTGATGCGAATAGGCTCAAAGACTGTTATATAACACTTTGTCTCATGTCGGGTAATGATTTTTTCATTTTTCCGACCATTTGATGCGACCTGATGATGAATAAGAGCATGTGCAAGTCGCAACATATACCGTGATATTTTTGATTAGCTGATAAGAAAAGCATGAACGTTGATGATAAAATATTGATGATTGAACTGCTTACTACTTCCAACTAACTGTCAATCACTACTAAATGTTTCGTAAAGCTAATTTTGTTGAAATATTATTGTACTCAATGTATAACACTAACAGGAGCCATAATTATCGTTATTATTATTATTGAAAAATATCACTATGAATTAGTTAATTAATTAATTTACTTAATTATTTATATTACAGGATGAATTAAAAAAATGGGGTCTTGTACCGAATTGGAAACGTGAATTAATCGAAAAGAAACAATTATTAAATAAAATGGTTTGTTTGTTTGTTTAAATGACTTCGTTTTGCATATATATATATATAAATTGTATATAACTGAAATTTATTTTGGGGCACAGTTTTGGAGGTTTGCGATTTTTTACTCATTTGAAATCATCAGTCAATCATTGTTAGACCACCATTAGAAACATGGAAGCACTGTAGGACGGCCGTTTCGTCCTGGTATGGGACTCATCAGCAATGCGCATCCACGACTTCTGCACCTCACAGGATCCGAACCCAGGACCTTCGGTATTATCATGGATGCGCACTACTGATGAACTAGTCCCATACCAGGATGAAACGGCCATCCAGTGCTTTCAGGTTCCTAATGAGGGTGGTCTAACAATGATTGATTGATTGATGATTTCAAATGTGTGAAATTTATTTATTTTTAATTATTTAATTAATTAATTGTTCTTATAAATAAATCAAACAAACAAAAAGAAACAACTTCAATCTATTGAAATTTGAATAACGCTGTGTTTGGGGATGTTTAGACCTCAAGAACTCGCTTGATAAATGCCTTAATTTTAAATTTCACTTTTGCGAGCATAGGCTGATCAGTTCACCTTGAGATTTCATTTCCCACTAGGAAAATCATTGGCTGTGATCGGATGCTTCGTCATTTTAGTGTGCTATTTTTGTGACTGTCCCAAGGGCGTTTCTATGATGTATAAATAAACGAGAGTTGTGTGCTTGATTGCATTTTGCTTGCTGGGTGTTTGTAGAATATACCTTCTACGCCTATATCAAGACTTCTCTTTTGCCCCTTTTTCGGATCAATGTAGCTTACTTGGACGTTGGTTGATTGTCTTGTTCGCGTTTATCGACTATGGTGAACTCGTAATAGCATTCAAGCATACCTAGTGACGAGAACCTAACAGCACCACTGAGCCAACCATCATCCGACGTTGTCTATTTCACAAAAATGTAATAATACACTTTCCTAATTAAACATTATCTACCTCGATTTATTGATAAGTTGTTAGGTTTTACATGCAACAACACATACTGTGTGTGCGTACGTATAGGCACGTACTGAATACAATTTGAAAAATTGCTTAACATACTTAACTGTTTGTTTTAATGTTGTAAATATCTATTAAATTTCATTGAACAACTAATTGATCAATGTTATATATAGGACACATTGTCATTGAAAACTTGAAACACTAAACAACTGTCTCATCTTCATGTTGGCTCTCATTAATAGATAGTAATAGTAATAGTAATAGTAGCAGTAATAGTAGAAGTGTAGTGAAGGAAAACACAGGTGAGGTCAACCGAATTGTATTTAACGAAAATTACAAAGTTACTCAGTAAAATAGGAAAACCATATCGTAAACGGTTAATTTGCAAATCTTCAATCCAATTCATCAATCCATTGTCTGACAATTCACTCATTCATGCGTTTCATACAAATTCCATTGTATTCCCACTCTTCCTCCCTTTCTTGATCTTCCCCCATCTTCTTCTGCCAGACATTAAGTTTACACTCGCGTCATATACTACTTATAAGTAGCACGCACCACAATACTACTACTAATGATGTATGAAAATGTTGAAAATGTTAACAAATAAACAAGTAAACAAACAAACAGATAAACAGAAAAACTCATTTTCTAATCCATCTTAAATGTTTTAATGTCCAATTAGAATTATTTTTACTTTTTGTAAACTTCTATCTGTCATTATAAAACTTACTTACTTATTTACTTACTTTTTCTCTGGTGTATCTATCATACAACGCAGTACATAATATATATTTCTACGTTTTTATTTTTTCTGGTTTCATTTTGACATAATCATGATAAATTTGAACAGTTGTTTCAGTCAGTTAGGCAGTCGGAATGACTTTGTACGTATGTACGTACGTACCTGTACATCAGTTCAAGTTTTCGTTGCCACACACAGAGGTCGAATAATGAGCTAATTCCCTAAATTGATCAGACTTGATAGACATTAACGCTGCTGGATGCCGGTTTAGTGATCCAGGGGTTAAGTGTTCGCGCGCGCGCAATACCGTAGGTCCTGGGGTTCGAATCCTGCTAGTAGCAGTGGTCATGGATGTACGTTGCTGATGAGCTAGTCCCATTATAGGCAGAAACAGTCATCCAGTGTTGTTTTGTTCCACAGTAAGTTGTTTCTGATAGTATCTGGAAAACGAATCCGAAGTATTTTGCGTAGACAACTGTTCATAAATACTTGTATCTTCTGGATGATGGCTATCATAGTTCTCCAAGTTTCCGTCTTGTGGAGTAGAACTGTCTTGACATTTGTATTGAAAATTATGACTTTGGTGTTTGTCAGTAGTTGTTATGAGATTGAGGTGTTGTTCATTTGTAGAAATGCTACCCCTGCTTTGTCGATCTGTGCCTTCACAGTCGCATCAGATCCACCTTGTTCATCAATGATGCTTCCCAGATGTGTAAAGAGGTTTTAACCTCTTCCAAAGCTTCTCCATCAAGTGTAATTCGATTGGTGCATGTTGTGTTGAATCAGAAAATCTTGCTTTTCCCGTTGTGTATTTTGAGACGTGCTGCAGCTTCTGAGGCTGAGGCTACACTGGTTTTCTTCTCTTTGCATTTGTTGTTGCTTGTGTGATAGAAGAGCCAGATCATCTGCGAATTCCACATCCTCCAGCTGCATCATGTCTAGTAGATAAGTATTTCTTTTTACAAGGTGTACGAAAATATAAATCCATGAAGCTTAGCATTAGAGCAAAGAGACAAGGAATAGATAGATACACTTGTGCTATACTGCAAACAACTATTATTCATCATCACACTTACTGTCTGATATGATTGTCTTTCATGTGTTTATGGATTCCATAAATCACTAACAATACACAATAACTGGTGTTCTTGTTGGGGATGTTATATCCCCAGAACTCGCTTGATAAATGACTTATTTTAGATTTCACGTTTGCGAGCATAGGACGATCAGTTGATTATGAGATTTCATTTCCCACCACGAAAATCCATGGCTGTGATTGGCTGATGTGTATTTTAGTGTGCGTGCTATTTTCTTAACTGTCCCAAGGATGTTTCTATGTTGTATAAATAAACGAGAGTTGTATGCTTGATTGTATTGTGATTGCTGGGTGTTTGTAGAAAATACTTCCTATGCTTACAAAGCCTTTTATCATCAGCTTTGGATTTAAGGTAGCCTACCTGATCGCTGGTTCATTGTCTCATTCGCGTTTATTGACTAAGGTGAACTCGTAATAGCTTCGTCAAGCGTACCTAGTGACGAACCCTGCAGTTCTGCTAATTTTTAAGATTATTTTCGAGTAAATTCGTAGTAATACTAGGAGAATTAATCTGTTAGAGTACATCGTAGACGAGACACAAAGGGAAAAGCGAGATCTTTCGATACAACACAACATGCGCCAACTAAATCATTCTTGATTGGGATGCCTTAGAGGACGTAAAAATCCTTACATACCTGAGAAGCATAATTGATGAGCAGATCGACAAAGCAAGGGCTGAATTTCTACAATGAAACAACATCTACAACTCAAAACAACTGTCAACAAACACCAAAATCAGAACTTTCAGTACAAATGTCAAGACAGTTCTACTGTATAGAGTGGAAACTTGGAGAACTACGAAAGCTATCATTCACAAGATACAAGTGTTTATTAACAGCTTGTCTACGTAAAATACTTCGGATTCGTTGGCCAGACATCATGAACAGCAACCTACTATGGGAAAGAACGAATCAGATTCCAGTGGAGGAGGAAATCAGGAAGAAGCTTTGCAAGTGGATAAGACACATAAGTGCCTCACAAGACAAGAGGAGGAAGGCCTAAGGAACAAATTGTGCCGATAAATAGAGACAGATATAAGAACAATGAACAATAATTGAATAGAACTGGAAAGAGGAGTGCAGGATAGAGTAGGCTGGAGAATAGTGATCAGCAGCCTATGCTCCATTGGGGGATAACAGGTGTAAGTAGGTAAGTAAGTGACGAGACACGATATATTGGAGTCAAAACTATTTATAGTGAAATAAACCCAATCATTTAGTTTACGCCTATTAACATGACTTAGTTCAATGGTCACTGATTTCATGAATTGATGGCATATTTTAGTTTGGCTAATTTCACTGTACGTTCAACTTATCGTAAAGTCGTACATGCGAATTTTTCAAAGAATTTTAAACATTTTGAATAATTTTTCTAAAGTTTCTTTAAATTAATTTAAACGAAACACCGTTTGAACTTGAAATCTATTGGTTGCAATATTTCATACAACATCGAGAAGTTTTGATAATGTGTACAGAGTGTTATTTTACAAGCACCCAGAAAATATGAGGTCGACAAGTACACAAATCGAGCTTATTTATACTGTTAGGGATATTCACATCCAATAGCCTAAGAGATTTCTATTGGTCAATTCCTATTGGTCAATTCCTACTGGTCAATTTTATGGTCATCCTAGATATCAATGTCACGTGCTCCAATGTTGTTTCTTATTGGTTGTCCTGACTATCAATGTCACTTCAAATGTTGCTTCGTATTGGTCGTCTTAACTGTCAATGTCACAGACTTCGATGCTGTTTCCTATTCAACCAAAATGTATAAATACGCATTATCTGTAACGTTTTATGACCAGGACCAGGACCCGGTCCCGGATCCCTAGTCCGGGATCCTGATTCTCTTCTGGATTCGGACTTGTAGGATACAGGTTCTACTTCACATTCAAGTCTTCTTATTTTTACTCAATATGGGGGTTGGGATAATCGGATTTGAGTAGCATGTCGTGTCGCCGGATTCTCGATCCTCGCTCTCGTTTTCCGACTAGGTAAACTCGTAATAGTTCAAGTATATCAAGTTGACGTGTTTACGTGCAGGCATAACATCTGCATGATAGCAATGTCCTTTGAGAGAGCCACAAAAATAGCGTACTAAAATAATACATCAACCAATGACAGCCAAGGATTTTCCGAGTGGGAAATGTAATCTCAAGGTCAACTGAGCAGCTTATGCGCAAAAGGAAAAAAAAATCCAAAATTAGAACCTTTATCAAGTGAGTTCTGGGGATCTAATTTCCCCGACAGACTGAAACTATTTAACAATTATTAAAAAGTGATTTAACTGAAACAGCGTTCGAATCTGAAATCTATTGGTTGTAATGTTTTATACAACATACCTAATCAGCTGATGACTTTTTGTTCTGTTTCTTTATTTAAAAATAACAGCAACACGAAACACCAACTTGCTGCTCATCTTCATCCTCTTCAATTTCTCATCATCATCAACAACAATTATCCTCAAATGGGCATACTTCGTCAATGCACAATACTCATCAATCATCATCATCATCATTGGCCAGTGCAGAATTAGCTGAAAAACTTCAACGTCGTCTTGATAAAGTGTCAAAATCAACTAACTAACCAACCAACCAACCAATCATTTTCATTGAACATATTGAACAACACAATTCAATGTGTTCAGTGCGTTCAATGTCCAATGTCCAATGTTCAATGTGTGTGTTTTTTAATTGTGAAATGATTTATTTTTAACAATGATATGGTGCTCTCTTTTGTTTTGTTTTATTTTATTTCTTTTTTCTCACATTATTATTATTATTATTATATCTTGTGATGATAATTTTTCTTCAGCGAAATTCTGAATTTATGTTCTTCAAGTTGGTGGTGGTTGTTGTTATTGATCAATGGAGGCGCTCTCATTTCCTTTTTCCTCTTATTGTTCTCCTAGAACATGTTTTGTTTGTTTCGACCGCCTTTTTCCGTGTGTGTGTTTTAATGTGGTGCCTTCTAGAAGTGGAAGAATGCAGCTGGTATATATTATGTAGTATGGTGGATTATTTCCCCGTAATCATATTGATATGCTTAATTAACAACGATGGCCATCACACTATGATGAATTTACTTTATTTGTTCAAGATTTAATTTGATTTCATTTCATTGATAACACCGGTTAGTGTGTAGTAAGTAGTTGATGTTCTCTAGTTTATATTTTCAAAATTGTAATCATGATATTGTTCTTCTTTAAAATTTTTTTCGGGGGGGGAAGCGGGTAGTTTGTTTTTTTCCTACATACTACTTTAGATAAGTATTTCAGTAGTATTGGGTTTCTTTTTTTTTATTATTTTGTAATGGGAAACGAAATTATGCTGTTTGTTTTTTTTAAAATAAATTTATTCATAAATTAAGTAGTATGTTGTGTGTAATCTTATTTTCTGATGATGAGTCTCATACAAGGACGAAACGACCGTCCAGTGCTTCCAAGTTTCTTCTAATGGTTGCCTAACAATGATTGATTGATTGATGATTTCAAATGTGTAAAAAAACACAAACCTCCAAAACTCTGCCCGAAAATATTGTAACAGTGCTCACTAGCGACTAGTTTCGTGAGGAAATTCTTGGAGTTATAGTCGAGAAGACGTGACCAATGAAGTTCAATCCTGTCGAGTGTGTAGGCAGTAACTACCAAAGACAAATGGGTGAGGTCACACAAAATCCGTAGATCAATCAGAGTTAGACATTAAGACCGCTGGATGCCGGCCTAGTGGTCCGATGGTTAGGCGCTCGTGCACAATACTGATGGTCCCGAGTTCGAATCCAGCGAGGTGCAATG